CACCGACAAACAGGTCAGAAAGTCGATCAGGGTGCTCGTAAAATGGTGACAAAACTAACGCAATGCCGTGAGATTTTTATTGACGAAAACAAAGAAAACAATCCCAAGTCAATCTTGATTTCTGGTGAACCGGGTATCGGCAAAACGCTATTTTCGCAGAAAATTGTGAGAGATTGGTCAACCAATAGCTTATTGCTACCAGGCATCAAGTTCACTTACCTTATAACATTCAAACAACTTGCTCGGCTTGGCAACAAAGAACTAACACTCAGAGAACTGCTGAATCACTCCCTTTTACTAAACGAAAAGACTATGGTAACCGAAGACATAATGGCGCACATTATCCAGCACCCAGAACAACTGTTTATTGTCTTCGATGGCTTTGATGAATACAAAGACCGCGACAAAATAATCGGAGACTTTGAAGAGGAATTTCCTAATGATGTTAAAGCCAAGATGTCAGTAGAAGCCCTGGTCAGCAAACTAATCCGAAAAAAGATCTTGCGCGATTCAGTCTCGATGATAACTTCAAGACCCAGCGAAGCCGGCGCTTTGGACMAAAAAATCCATTTTCATCGCTATGTCGAGATTACAGGATTCTCAAAAATCCAAGTAATTGACTATGTTGAGAAGTATTTCAAATGTAAACCAGAAAAAGTAAGAAAGATGGCAGTGAACAAAGTCAAAGGATCACCGCACCACATATCATTTGGTCGCGCGCCATTTCGTTGTTTTTTGATGTGCATCTTCATCGAGTGGGAAATCAAAAACAAACGCGATAATTTAGTTCCTGCAACACTTACAGAATTTTATTGTAATGTTATCAAATGCATCGAAACAAATTACAATAAAGCAATACTTAAATTAGATGAGAAAGCCGCTTCGTTGGCTGTTGAYCAAACTCTCGATAATTTTGCACGACTAGCGGCACAGTTAGTTGAACAAAATAGATTYAGTTTTACTTCAGAAGACTTAGAAAACCTAAACTCAACAGAAAAGGAATTGTTGCTTTCTAGTAATCTTATAATTTGTTATCCTGTTTCCAGTAATTTGCCTTTTCAAAAACCAACGTGTGAATATAGCTTCACGCACTTCACAATTCAAGAGTTTTTTGTTGCTCTGTATTTGGTCAAGAAAGGTGTAATGGCGGCACAAGAAAGCACTGAAATGGTGTACATCTTCATGAGCGGTTTGTTAGGTTTAGATAATAACAAGAAATCAATGGTAGAACTACTAGAGTGTCTAGGTAAACATATTAAAGATGAATACAGACTAAGACTGGTGTCATTAAGATGTTTACACGAGTTTCAAGACAAAAGTTTGTCAAAACAAGAAGTGACTGGAAACCCTGAGTACAGATACTGGGATAGTGTTGGGATGATTGGATTACATGGTGTAACCGACACGGACTGTGCAGCAATCGCTATGTTAGTAGAATACACTGCTACATCAATATCATCACCACCACACACATTGTACATTAATAACTCATTCATAACAAGTGTTGGGTTAAGTAGTTTAATGCCATCTATCATTCATAACTCTTCAATCACTAGACTGGTGCTGTTTGTTTGTGATTTGTATGATGAATGCGCTGAGTGTTTGGGTGAATATTTACCCAACACTAACTTAACCCTGCTAAGCCTGTATGCTAATAAAATAACTGATGTAGGGGTAAGACATATCATTAATAACTTACCAAGTAATTTAACCTATCTAAACCTGTGTGGTAATCCAGTATCTAATGAATGTAAAAAGTGGGCTGAACAATTCTGTAACGATAATCATCCTGGTCTT